ATAATTAAAATTATAAATATTTTCAGGAATCAATAATTAATTTTGAAAGATAACATTGATATGTAATTTTTTTAAATTAATCATTTTTTAAGATTGTGTTCTATTCATGAATTTATAGAAGGTTTTGGAAAGAGAAATAAAAAATGAGTGTGAAATATAGTTATATTTCTTTCACATTTTATCTATATTTTTCCTTTGTCTTTTCAAATCCCCAAAATCATGAACTAAACCAAACAAAGCCTAATTGAAAAAAATAAAAATAAAAACAAATCACCTATTGTCTTCTTAGTTCCCTTCTCGAGTAATGATGATATGAGGCCATTGCCGACCCCAAATTGAAGCCATGTATCGGCTTATTTAGGCCTTAGAAGGCCCATGCAACGTTTGGGGAGGCCCAAACCCCCAATACACTGCTAATTGGACACATTCGACCCTTTGGGATTGTTCTATGGTACAACAAGACTAGTGTTGTATAAATAAAATAATTATACATAAAATCAAGACCTCTTGCAAAATTTGAAAAAAATATAGTTAGTCTTACACTTTTAACATAATTACATTGACCTTTTTAATTAAGCTATCGATTAAAACTAATGCAGATGGTGAAGTGAATGTGTACATAACAGGGTTGTTGGCAGGACTATATGGAAGCCGTTGATGGAATACATGATACTGCGCAGGTTACGAGGCCAGACACTCCAATATATTTTGGTAGGAAATACTGTCACACCCAAAATATCATGGCCACGTGCGATTTTGACATGTGTTTCACCTTCGTATCGCTTGGATGGGAAGAAAGTATTCACGATAGTCGCATCTTCAATGAGATAATCACAAATGACAATGTCCATTTTCCACATCCTGAAGAAGGTATCATATTGCATTTTCATTTTTTTCGGTACATAATATTTTAAAAAAAAAATTTATTGCGGTATTTAAATTGAATTTATGGTATTTTTATAGGAAAATATTATCTTGTCGATAGTGGCTATCCGAACCGCTAGCGTGACCTAGCACCATTCAAAGGCAGCCGTTACCACCAACAACAATTCCACGTTATTGAAAGGCGTAGGACAGCAAACAACCCCATGGAATATTTAATAAAGTTCACACGTCGTTGCAGAGGGTGGTGGAATGCACTTTCGGCGCATGAAAAAATCGATGGCGGTTTATTCAAAATATGCCTCGGTATGATTTTACAAATGTGCAAGTTCAGTTGGTTGGTACATCAGTAGCGTTACATAACTATATAGCAATACTAGCAATCCAACAACAGTTAACCCCATTTTCAACGAGGAAGAGGCTATGGCAATAGTAAATGGCATACCGGAAATTGCACATGACAAGAATGGTTCAATGGTTGAGATAAGGACCCCAATATGGCATTGGTGCGAGTTCGCATACAAGATAAGTTAGTGCACATACGCAATAACGGAATGTTAGGAAACATATAGTCAACCTAATATTTGTATGCTTGTAGCATTGTTCAACTACAGTCGGGATGTATGTGATTATATTATATTGTACAATATGTATGTGTTTACACGAAAAAAATAAAAAGTACTATGGTTTACGTGCCTTATTTTGTAAAATTATTGGGTTAGAAAAAGAGAAAATTTGTTATGTACTTGTAATAATTAAGCATCATAGCACAATGGCAAACCACAATATTATGATTTGATGACTATGACAGAAAAATTAAAAAATTTTAAAAAATAAAATGGGCACGTACTATGTCAAAAATTACAATATTTGGCCGTCAACTCAATTTTGGGTAAAAGGTAGCAGTATGATTTGTACCAATTTTTTTTAAACAAATTGTAAAACAAGTGCAGAGATGATGTGTCCAAAAATAGATACCAAAAGAGAAATTTATAGGTGTGTTTGGTTTGTATTTGGAGATAATTTTTTTTAAAAATATTTGGAGCGAGAGTAACTGAATTTTTTTGGTTTGTTTGGTTATATTTTGAAAATAGTTTTACAGTTTGGGAGTTTGGTATGCTTTGATGTAATTGAGAAGACATGTGTTAGTGAACAAGTGATTGAGAAAGAGAGAGGAGAGAAAAAAAGTAATTGATTGATGTGTAGGAAAGAGAAAGTGATTTTGAAATTTTTTTTTTTCAAAAAATTCGAATCAAACAAAATTTTGAAATTTTTCCTCAAAACTTGTATCTTGACATACAATTTTTTACAACCCTCCGTTTTTTGTTTTGTTTTGTTTTTTTTTTTTTTTTGGAAGAACGATATAATTCTCATTTGTCCTGTTATTATAAAAAATAAATAAATAAAAATAAAGAAAATGAAAATAATAGGCCGATGTGGCAGCCTTGCAACCCACACGTCCAAGTAAATGAACAGCAAAGGGTACAGGGTATGCCCAAGGGCATTTGGGTAATTTTACATATAGACACCTCACCAAAAATTCAAAAAGCCAAAAAAGTCAAAAAGCCTATCTCAAACCAGGCTTTTTAGTCACAGGCTAAAACAGTCAAAAAGTCGACCCATATCCCAAACAAACCCTTAGTAATATTTTTGTTACCGACTAAAATTGGAATAGTTTAAAAGTAATTTATACAATAATATATTTGTTAAATAGCCTCAAGATAAATTAATTTATTAGCAATCCAACAACAGTTAACCCCATCTTCAACGAGGAAGAGGCTATGGCAATAGTAAATGGCATACCGGAAATTGCACATGACAAGAATGGTTCAATGGTTGAGATAAGGACCCCAATATGGCATTGGTGCGAGTTCGCATACAAGATAAGTTAGTGCACATACGCAATAACGGAATGTTAGGAAACATATAGTCAACCTAATATTTGTATGCTTGTAGCATTGTTCAACCACAGTCGGGATGTATGTGATTATATTATATTGTACAATATATATGTGTTTACACGAAAAAAATAAAAGTATTATGGTTTACGTGCCTTATTTTGTAAAATTATTGGGTTAGAAAAAGAGAAAATTTGTTATGTACTTGTAATAATTAAGCATCATAGCACGATGGCAAACCACAATATTATGATTTGATGACTATGACAGAAAAATTAAAAAAATTTAAAAAATAAAATGGGCACGTACTATGTCGAAAATTACAATATTTGGCCGTCAACTCAATTTTGGGTAAAAGGTAGCAGTATGATTTGTACCAATTTTTTTTTCACAAATTGTAAAACAAGTGCAGAGGTGATGTGTCCAAAAATAGATACCAAAAGGGAAATTTATAGGTGTGTTTGGAGATAAATTTTTTAAAAAATATTTGGGGCGAGAGTAACTGAATTTTTTTGGTTTGTTTGGTTATATTTTGAAAATAGTTTTACAGTTTGGGAGTTTGATATGATTTGATGTAATTGAGAAGACGTGTGTTAGTGAACAAGTGATTGAGAAAGAGAGAGGAGAGAAAAAAAGTAATTGATTGATGTGTAGAAAAGAGAAAGTGATTTTGAATTTTTTTTTTCAAACAATTCGAATCAAACAAAATTTTGAAATTTTTCCTCAAAACTTGTATCTTGACATACAATTTTTTACAAGCCCTCCGTTTTTTTTTTTGTTTTGTTTTTTTTTTTTTTTAAGCCAAACAGAGCATACCTCTGTTTGGTTTCCTATTATTATAAAAAAATAAATAAATAAAAATAAAGAAAATGAAAATAATAGGCTGATGTGGCAGCCTTGCAACCCACACGTCCAAGTAAATGAACAGCAAAGGGTACAGGGTATGCCCAAGGGCATTTGGGTAATTTTACATATGGACACCTTACCAAAAATTCAAAAAGTCAAAAAGCCTATCTCAAATCAGGCTTTTTAGTCACAGGCTAAAACAGTCAAAAAGTCGACCTATATCCCAAACAAACTCTTAGTAATATTTTTGTTACCAACTAAAATTGGAATAGTTTAAAACTAATTTATACAATAATATATTTGTTAAATAGCCTCAAGATAAATTAATTTATTATTCATATTTTACAATATATTTATAAAAATAAATAAATACAATTTCACTTGTTTCGTTTATAATTTTCAAAAACAGTTTTATGAGTTTTCAATTCATATTTTTATATTTTTAATTATTTTTTAAAATATTTTAATCATTTTTTTAATTTTTAATTTTTAGATTCACTTAATCTTAATATATTTAAAAAATAAAAAATTTGTACAAAAACTTTTAAAAAATTTATTGAATACAAGAAAATATGAAAATGTACTGATTTTTTTTTCTATTTAGTGATTTTTAAAAAAAAAATTGTATAAATTTTGTACTTTTTAAACCTACTTAAATTAGATATATTTAAAAATTAAAAAATTACTTAAAATATTAAAAATAAAAACATACGAATAAAAAAATTTGAATTGTCTTAAATAGGTGATTAGTCTTGAAAGAGAGAGAAGAATCAAATGGGTCATAAATTCAAATTTAACTTTTTTGTAATGTACTGCCAATATTGAAAAAGGTAGACAGATGACAAGTGGTAGGTTTGGATGTTGATTGATTTTTTTTATATATTTTAATTTTGGATTAAAATTTTTTATTTGAGATAGATTTTTTTATTTTTTTTTATTTTTGTAAGAGAAAAAATAAAATGATTATAATTTGAATGTAACATTTTATCTTATTAATTTTTAACCTATTTTGGGAGTGTTTAGTAAGTCAGATTTGGGCTATTTTTTAGCTAAACTTTACAAAAAGAAAAATTAAGTTAAAATAGTTAATAAAATAAAATATCACATCAAATTCATAATTATTTTATTTTTTCTCTTACAAACATCACATTTAATTATAAAAAAATTCAATCTAATTTTTAAATACAATTATTTTAATTTATTAAAATAATCAAATATTAAAATAATTAACTTTTAAATTTTTTTATTTGTTTGTGATTAAAATAATTTTTTAACCCCAAAAATTCTCATAACAAACAGTGCTATAACATACCGTGTTTAAAACTTCCGTTACACTAGCTTGTAGTTGCTGTCGTTGCCATTTAAGTGATTGATGTTCGATGTGGTGGAGTATACTTTGTGCCTCCACTAATTTCTCGTCCAACCTCGCTAGAGGCGTCGAGAGAATTCTCCTCTTTGATTGTTTGTATAAACCCAAACCCAGAACCCATTCATCATTATATCTCCAATTCTTGTTTGTTTTTGTTTTATCAACAAAGGTACTGAAACTAACAAAACCCAGATCACAATTCATCGCCTAGCAACTGGGTTCTTCTAAAACCTGACTTTATCCCTCTCTTTCTCGCTCGCCACCTCACTGGGGGTGCGACCCCCACTGGGGTCTGCAGCATGGTTGTTTCTCGTCCAACCCCACTAGAGGCGTCGAGAGAATTCTCCTCTTTGATTGTTTATATAAACCCAAACCCAGAACCCATTCATTATTATATCTCATCAATTCTTGTTTGTTTTTGTTTTATCAACAAAGGTACTAAACTAACAAAACCCAGATCACAATTCATCGCCTAGCAACTGGGTTCTTCTAAAACCTGACTTTATCCCTCTCTTTCTCTCTCTCTCTCTCTCTCTCTCTCTCTCTCAAGCTCATTGTAATTGTTTCTCTGGGATGGGTGTGCTGGAGATGTGGGTAATCTTCACTTTCGCTCTTGTGTTCTCTTCACGAGTTCAAGTTTCGAATTCCCATAACATCACATGCAATTCGAACGATCTTCAGGCTTTAGAGGCTTTCTTGGTTGGATTAGATTCAGGAACTATCAATGGTTGGGGAACCTCAAATTGCTGTAACTGGTCAGGAATCACCTGCAATTCATCTTCTTCACTCGGTTTCTTCAACGATCCTATCGATTCCGGTAGGGTTGTGAAATTGGAACTCTCGGGGAAGATATTGGCTGGCAAACTCAATGAAACTACTTTCACTGGTTTAGACCAACTCAGAACCCTAAACCTCTCTATCAATTTCCTCCGAGGCTCTCTTCCTCCATCTCTGTTTCAAATGTCAAATCTACAAGTCATCGACCTCAGCAGAAACGATTTCTCTGGTTCAATTCCGATGAGTATCAACCTCTCATTTCTCGAGATCTTCGACATTTCTGATAATTCATTCGAAAGCTCGGTTCCTGTGGGGATTTGTATCAATTCAACTCGAATTCGGATCATTGATTTTGCTGTGAATCACTTCTTTGGTAGAATTCCATCTGGGTTTGGGAATTGCAGCTCGTTAGAACACCTCTGGCTTAGTCAAAATTTTCTCGCCGGAGATATACCGGAGGATATTTTCCGGCTACCAAGATTGAACCAGTTGGATCTTCGGGATAATCGGTTTTCGGGTGAGCTCAACAGTGGAATTGGTAATTTCTCTGATCTTGTTGGTTTGGATATATCATGGAATTTGTTTTCAGGGCCTATCCCAGATGTTTTTCATAGATTTGCAAAGTTACAAGAATTTTATGCTGAATCCAATAATTTTTCTGGTGGAATTCCCAATTCTCTGGCGAATTCTAGGACTATTACTTCACTTGTTTTGAAAAACAATTCTTTGAATGGTGTAATTGATTTGAATTGTTCTAAAATGATCCATCTGGTTTATCTCAATTTAGGCGGTAATCAGTTCACCGGGCTAGTTCCTGATAATTTCCCACTCTGTCCGCGACTAAAAATACTCGGTCTTTATGGAAATAACTTTACCGGGCAAATCCCAGAAAGCTTTAGGAATTTTCATGTTCTCTCTCTGCTTTCATTATCGAATTCGACCATTTTTAACCTCTCAGCTGCCCTTGATATCTTGCAGCATTGCCAGAGCTTGACTACTTTGGGTCTTATCTATGAATTTCATGGTGAACAAATGCCTTCCTTTCCTAGTCTAAAGTTTAAAAATTTGAAGGTTCTCTCTATTGGAAATTGTGGACTCACTGGTGTGTTTCCCCAGTGGTTGAGTGGGTTAACAAATTTGCAGGTGTTGGATTTATCAGGGAATCGATTGGATGGAACAATTCCGCCATGGTTAGGTAATTTTGAGTTTCTGTTTTACCTTAACTTGTCGAACAACTATTTTACCGGAGAGATACCAAAAAACTTGACTAAATTAGAGTGCCTCATCTCCAAGGATGTCTTACTGGAAGACTCTACTCTACGCCTGCCATTCCGATCTTCATTCCAAGCAGGCATTAGAATGTTACAATATAATCAATTTTGGAAGTTGCCACCCACACTTGATCTCAGCAATAACTCTCTCACCGGACCCATCTGGTCAGAGTTTGGGAACCTAAAAAAATTGCATTATTTGGTCCTAAAATGCAACAATTTATCTGGAAACATTCCTGAGGATTTGTCTGGTATGACGAACATAGAGACTTTGGATTTGTCCCACAATGATCTATCTGGAGCTATACCTCTTTCGTTGGTAAATCTCAGCTTTCTGTCAGTGTTCAATGTTGCTTACAATCAACTGTATGGGGCAATCCCTACCGGAGGGCAGTTTGAAACCTTTCCAAGCTCGAGCTTTAAAGGGAACCTAGGTCTATATGGTGGTGAACATTCATCCCGGTATCCGATTAGCAATCAAGTTCCTCAAGTAGTTTCTCCTAGTAAGTCGATGTGGGGAGAGATTATTGTCAAAATGTCATTTGGGGTGGGATTTGGGATTGCATTTGGGATAACTTTTGCTGTTATGTTCTTTTTTGTTCTAAACAAATTAACATTTTACAAAAATTGACCTTTGAGTTGAATATTAGAGAGATTTCACAGAGAAGTCCCATGATATATAAAAGAAGGAATTGTATTTTGGTGAACAAACCATTGATATGATGATTGAAATAATTGAATGATTCAAGATAATTGTGAGAAAATGTGGATTATTTTTGTTTGTCCATGGGATAGTATTGCGATTCTAGTTCAGACTTGACCCATTTGTTGTTCTGGACTCGGGTTTCATAGTTTCGTATTGTTGTTTATGTCTTATTTCCCTTATACTTCCTTGAGTTTGGTTATTAGGTTGTATTGGTTGCGTTTAGAACAAGTTAATAGCTTAGTTTTCAAACTTTTGTTGCCCAGAGTTTTACTCCTCCGCTCGAGCGTCACTTCTTGTGCTAGAGCGGGCTTTCTGAATTCTCAGTACTTTTGCAGGTCTGCAAAACTACTGGGAGAGTGTATTCTCTGCTTGAGCAGTGCTTCTTGTGCTCGATTGGTCTTTCTTGCGCTCGAACGTTGGTCTGTTGTCTATAAAACTGTTGGAAGTGTGCATTCTGCACTTGAGCAAAGTAGTTTCTTGCGCTTGAACGGAACAACTTATCGTATCTGGACGCTCAAGCGTTGCTTCTTGCGCTTGAGCAGACTGTGCGTATATTAGTTCATAAAAATCACTTTTTATATCACTTTTTCATTTCTTTCTCTCTCTAAACATTTCAAAATCCTAAAGTTAAGACCTTCTCTCTTTAGGACTTACTCTCTCTCTCTACAAATATACCAAGATCTACCCATTTCTCTACCTTACTCCCTTTGTTAAAAGGGTAGAACTCATCTAGAGCTTTGTTTTCATCCGAGTAGAGTTGGATTTTGGCTTGCTTGAGGTTTCTCCACTTTTTCCTTGGTCTTCTAACTTTGATGTAAGGATTTTCTACACTCTTTTATGATTTTTAACTTAACTATTTGTTTTTCATAAAGAATCTTGTTATTTTGGAGGATTTTGAACAAAGTTAGGGTTTTGGTTTAAAATCAAAAGAGGGGTTTTCAAATGGATGTATGGAAATGGTTGTGGAAGTGGAAATGAGGTGGAGTAGTGGTAAAATTGTTAATTTTGATACTTGGTTTGGATTTTGGAAGAAAAATGGATTTTGTCCTAAATGTTTCAAATATTTATTTTGTATAAATAAGTGGAATTACTGTTGAAAATGTGAAATTGGATGGATATTGATATGGATGGTGGAGTTGGATATGCATTATCAGTCACCTTGAAATTTGAAAAGTTTGTCTGTATTGGAGATTTTATATCTGTTTAGGGCTATCGGTGGAGGATAGCTATGATTGTTGTAGAAATTGTATGAGGATTAGGTGAATTGAAACTAATTTCTCATCCATGTGCATTGAACATTATTGCTCATTTAATACATTACATACACATATGAATTTAAGAAAAATGGGTGAATGTTAGAAAGATGTGTGTATCACCAAATTAAGTTGGTATGTGTGTCCATGGTGAAAGTCTCGAAAAACGCGCGTATACATGGGTGCCAATTTCCACGAAAAAAATATCCGTAAAATGGCAATAGTAGTCTTGTATAGACTACGTTTACATGGGTGTCGTTTGACGGTTTTCCGCAGACAAAATATCTGTGAAAGGTTGTACCGGTTTGAGAATTTCTCCTTGTTTCCTATGGTAGAGGGCACGATTTGAGAATTATGATATAAATTGTGCATAGCATGATTTTGAGAAAGAAATGCAAATCGTTTTGACATGGGCATTGCATATGCATTTCACCCTTATATCTTCGTTAAGATTCATACATTGTGTTAGATTATTTTTATTGGGCTTTGACTCACCCTATTTGGGGAAAACTATTTTCAGGTGCTAGTGATATGCCTTCACCAAGGACTTAGCTTAGGAGGACTGTAAAGTTGAAGGCTCAATTTTATTTATTTTGTATTCACTTTTGTGCAAGTCTAGGGCTTTATTTGTATTGAGCTTAAGACTCACTTTTGACGTATCCAAGCCTTGACTTGGAAAGATGTAAGCTTTTAGGGCACCTGATTATATGTTCAGCTTTTATTTCTTCTTACTATTTAGTAATACATGCTGTAGGTTCAAAATGTACTATTTATGAATGTATATCGCATGTGTCACTCTTTTGTACAAGGGAATCTCATATAATAGAAGGGCAACACACTCTGATTCATATTGTTATTTACTTATCACCTTGGATGTTTTATTGCATTTTTGGGGCGTTATAGATAGGATCATATCTATTGTAATATTTTCCATGCACAAATGGTTTTTAATTTTGATGGCACTGCTTTGTTTTAAGTTTCTACTTCTTTCAATTCTACTTAACCATTACTCAGCTTGTAATGGAATTTATGGTGGCTCCGATTTTGCGTGTGTGCACAATAGTAGGGAGTACTCCAAAGTGTAATGTCCAAACATAACCCACATGTGATTGGGATCTCCTTTGAGTTGGACGCAAGTAAAAAAAGTTGTGGGAGTCGTGTAACGATGAGATTTTGTTAGAAAGAAGATATATATATATATATATGTGGGGATATATTTTCTAAGTACCAACACGCGGAATGGTGACGCCGACGTGTCAGTCGAGGTGCCACGTGTCGAGGTAGTTATGCCGAGGTGATCTCGAAGTTGCCGAGGTTATCTCCGAAGATATCAAAATCCGAGATAAGCGGATAAGGGACAAGAGTCCTAGGACAAAAAGGAGACTTAGCCAAGATAAGGATAAAAGCTCTTAGGGAGTTTATCTTTATCTCTTGAGGAATCCAAAGTAAGCACAGAATTGGAATCCATAGAAGTCATACTTCTAGTGGGACTTGGATTGAGTAAACTATAAAAGAGAGGCACCCCCGTGGGTCTAAGGTACGCAATTTATGTTTTGAGCATTAAGTTTAGCACTTGATTATCTTTGAGAGATATACTGATTTGATCGTCGGAGTGCCCCCGGGTGGAAGAACCACCGCCGGAGCCTTTTCTTTCTGTTACAGGTTAGCTGAAGCCATCTATTCTGCCAGTGCTCTCCAGTTGATTACTAAGCGGGCAGTGTGGTCAGATTTTTTACCCACACAATTTGGCGCCGTCTGTGGGAAGAAGAAAGAATAGATGGCCAGTAACGGACAGCAGGAAAAGATTGGGGACGACGCTCCCGCTGGGAGTGGCAGACCAATTGACCTTGACATTGAAGGAGATAACTACAATGCAGAAACCCGTGACCAGGGTCACAGAGAGAAGGACGTCGTCCAGGAAGGCGACACTTCGAAGAGGACAGACCAAGGAAAGTACTACAATGAAGATAACCGACACTTCGAAGAAGACAGACCAAGGAAAGTACTACAATGAAGATAACCTCCAGGTATGGAGGGACAGGTGCCTACGGAGAGATGAGGAAGTAAGAGAATTGGAAAACAAGTTGGCAGACCTACAGTCGGTCATCAACTTTATGATGCAGAATAATGTTATGCAGCCGCTATACCCGCTGCAAGATACGCCGATGCCAGCAATTAACACCCAGAAGGGAGGAAGGAAAACAATCCCCGAAGTCCCTCAGCACGCCAGGAGCGGAAGGCATTCTCACCGGCCTTCCAGGGAAGTCAGACGAGAAGAGCCGAGGCAAGAAGATTCCCGAAGAACGCATCACACGAAGGATCCAGAGCCCAAAGAACATCGACATGTTCAAGGGCAAGAACTCTGCTTTGACACAACCCATGGAGAGAGATCAAAACGGGCCCACCATGAGGCCGAAAATAGTGTGCCAAAAAGACTAAAGTCCAAAGATAGCCGAGCTCCAGGGAGGAGTAAAGAAGACTTGAGGGATTACCTCAAAAGGAGGCAACAGAATGTTGAAGCCGAGGTAAACTCCCCAGTTAAACCGAGGACAGCATTCTCGGTGGAACTGGACAAATTTGAAGCACCAAAAAGATTTAGTATGCCGAGGTTCCAAATTTATGATGGTAAATCAGATCCCAACTTTCATGTCGGGCTATACCTGAATTCGATGGCATTATATAGTGGGAACGAGCCATTGCTTTGTAAAGTATTCCCCTCATCCTTTGGGGAAATTGCATCTGATTGGTTCCATAAGCTACCGAAGGGAAGCGTAAAGACGTGGGAAGGCCTGGCCGAGATGTTTGTGGCCAGATTTGTGACAAACAAGCTGCAGCTCCTGAGGGTTGACGCCTTGATGGCTTTAAGGATCGCAAAGGATGAAGGCCTCAGGGCCTACGCGAAGAGATACTACGAGGTGTTCAATCGAATACCCGAATGCAACCAAGAGGTGGCGGTCGTGTCTTTCAAGAACGGCCTGAAAGACGACTGCCCACTACGGAAGCTTTGGCAAAAACATTGCCAAAAAGCATGGAAGAACTCATGGCAAGAATCGAGAAGTACGCCAGAGCTAAGGAAGATACGTCGGAAAACAAAGAGATAAAACAAGAGAAAGAAAACGGCTCGCCGATGCGAAGTCGAGGTAACAATGGGCCGACCAAACAAGAAACGGAATTGAGAAGTAAACAGGCAGTGACAACGGTATTCCGAATCCCAATCCATAAAGTCCTGGATCAAATTCGAAACCAACCCTATTTCAGGGCACCGGCAAGAGCATCAGGGGAATTCATGGGAAGAAACGTTGGTAGGCATTGTGCCTACCACAATGAAGAAGGGCACCCAACTCAGGGTTGCAGAGCCCTGAAAGCACACTTAGAGGACTTGGTAAGGCAAGGCCTTCTGAGGGACCTGGTCGATGAAGCCAGAACAAGGGAAGAACAGGCAAGGTTGCCTCAAGCACCAGCAGCTCCGCCTCCCCCAGCACAGCAACCACAAGCAGGAGGACCACGGGTGGTTAATGTGATCCACTCAAGGGTCAACGAGAACGAAGTCAGAGGGGAGACCCAGAGGGTAAGACATTTACAGCATGTCTACCAAGTCGGGTAAAAGAGACATCGGCCAGAAGAGTGCCAAGGGCCGATGATAGCCTTTACTGAAGCCGACTTGGAATTGGTCCAACATCCGCATAATGATGCCTTGGTAGTATCCCTCCAGGTTAGGGAGAGCCAAGTGAAACGCATCCTAATAGATCAAGGCAGCTCTTGCGACATCATGTATGTCAGATGTTACAAGGAGC